ATGAAGGCTCAAAAAAATCCATATATAGAGGGAATACAAATGTACTAATTGAATCCAAACAAAAAGAGTCTATCACAGAGGTAGAGACATCTCCTATCCAAAAAATTAAAAAAAAAAAGTATACAGCCAACAAAGAGCTTACCAAAAATATGGGCCACAGAAACTATGACCATCTCCCTCCCAGACTAGTAGGAGATAGGCACTTCAACTGCACCAAAAGGAAGGGGTGGAGGTCCGGTCTCTCTCTCTATATATATGCAGCACCATAATCACATGAACCACTTTGTATCATGAACTACTTTGTATCACATTGATATACCTTTTCTGTTTTTTTTATTTTGTAATGTGACAAATATTGATATATATTACAGAAATCAGCATTGAGATTATACCCTCTGATGAATACAACGCTATCTGCAAGTTGAAATGCGTTAGGATTTCTTATCTGTACATCTGACAGTCTTTTTGTGAAATATTGATATGTTTACATCTTTGAATAATGAGTAGCTTTTTAGGTTTTTATGATGTTATTGTATGTATACATCTAATATAGCCTTTGGCATATTTTTCAGTGTTTTTTATTTATTATATCTAATATAGATTTATTATTTTTCTTTTTGGGTACCTCAAAGTCCCATGTTCCCCCTTTTCCTTCTGAGTTTCAGCATCACAGGAATGCTAACTACTTTACATGCACAAGCTTCACTTACTGCTCCTCCACTGCTCCCAGCCTTGTAGCATCAATAGACCTCACTCACCCCTCTGACAAGAAGACCAAAGTATTGGTGGAACTATGACCAAAATTTACATATGAAAAAATACACACAAAAAAATTTATCTAAGCTTTTTTTTCAAGAAATCAAAGGCCTTGCTGAATTGGAATAGTAATGAGGATCTTTTTGTTGTATTTGTTGTTGCAAACTTGCCTTCTCCTTAAAATAAGCTGAGCCATGTCAACAAGATAATCATTTATCTGTCTATCCTTTGATTTTGGATCTCTTAGTCAAGATAATGCATGCAGCATTATTGTGAAGACTGAAACCTATTACCAAATTATTATTATTATAGAGTATTTATAAAGCGCCAACAGTTCGCTCAGCGCTGTACAATATACCAAATCTATCTATCTATCTATCTATCTATCTATCTATCTATCTATCTACAGTATCTTAGATGTCTTCAGTACTTCTAAAAGTGGCTCCTATTTGGTTCTTTTGTTCAGAACATGGAATGGGAGGGGTTTAGAGAATTCAATGCAGTTAGATCAAACACAGGAAGGTTTAGGCTTTGGCAGATTAGGCCAAATCTTCAAATATCTGACTTTATTATGACAGGAGGACGCATCTTAATTTTTATTGTATTTGTATTTCCACTCTAATAAATAAACTATTTCAGTACAAACAGTGTTTGAATTGTTCAGTGATAAACAAAATCAAAAAGCAGGTCATCGGAAATTAAAAAATACTAAATTATTCTTTACACAATTACAAACACTAACGTAGTGTTTTGATTGCTTTTTTAATGCCTTCAATGTTAATTATAATTGCCAGCAGATGATCTTATGGGACTAATTAGTCTCATCTTTTAATTGCATTTTGAAATGAGGGCTACAATTTTTAAAAATCATCTTCCAACTATAGCGATTTAATTTATAGGCTGAAAAGTCTTCAAATTAAAATAAATATTATAAAATAATAAAACATTGTTTGAGAAATAAATGATGGTTCCGGATATAATTACTCCTCAGTTAACCCATGTATATTAATTGTCATATATTTTCTATGTCATTCACCAAGCTTCTGTTGTAATATATTATTACTGACAATATACAGAAAATTTTTGAATAAAAATTAAGGATTTGTTGGAGGTAAATACTAAACTTTTTTTTTTAAAGAAAAAATAATCCAACTTTAAGTTTAAAAGTTAAAACAACTATGGTTTAAAACTGTGTTTAAAAAACACAGATATGGGATGCATCCAAAATCAAACACATGTTAGTATAATTAAACACAGTGGCTAAATGATTTGCTCTTTTGCTGCCAGGATCAGTGTTCAGTTTGCCCCAGGAAGACTAATGGATGCATCTTCTGCCATCTTATTTGTCTGCGTGCTCCAGATTACCTCAATCTGACTGAACCTAGTTGTAGTGTTTGACAGCAGTGGTAATTAGTATAAGCAAGCATCTTGAGGGGGGGTAAGCACTAATGCTAAACCTTTTATGTACTGTTTGGTTGTCTAGTGCTATATTAATATGTAAAATCCCAAGACAAGCGAGTATTCTATAGTTTTCACAGTAAACCTTCACTTAGCTGAACGTAAGCCAGGACACAAAATTGTTCCTACTGTGTATACGTACAGTTGTGACCAAAATTATTCAACCCCCAATGCTTTGTTTAGGGACTATAGTGTACATTTGGAATTGTATTCAGAATCAAATCCTACAAGGACGTGTAACTACCCAAATGCAACTAAAATGACATCAATTGTTTATGTATTACAGTAGTAAATGGTTCTTATGTGGTTTCTTCATTGCACAATTATTCAACCCCTTAAAGACTACCACTCTGAAGAACAGAGGTTCATACAGGTGCTTTCCATCAGACTATTGAAAACACTGTGGATGTCACCGAGCAGCAATCAAGCATAATAAGCACCAATTAGGCAGCTTTAAAATGACTGTGATACTCAGCTCCTTCTAGACAGTGTGGGGTTACAAACATGGTGAAGGCAAGAGAATGGTCCAGGAAGACAAGAGAAGAGGTGATTTCTCTTCACAGAAGGGCAATGGGAAGATTGCAAAGATGTTAAACATACCAAGAGACACCTTAGGAAGCATCATTCGCAAATTCAAGGCAAAGGGCACTGTTGAAACGCTACCTGGTCGTGGCAGAAAGAAGATGCTGACTTCGACTGCACCTGAAGCGTAGAGTGGAGAGAAGTCCCCGTGTGACTGCTGAGGAACTGAGAAAAGATTTGTCTTTAATGAAGGCCTCCGTGCCAGAACTCCCAGGCGTACCCCCTTGCTGTCTCCAAAGAATAAGAAGAGTCTGCAGTATGCCAAAAGCCATGTGGACTGTTTGGCTATGTTTGGAGGAGGAAGAACAAGGCCTATGATGAAAAGAACTAGGGTCAATGCTATATTAAGTCACCACGACTTAATCTCGATTGAGAACCTCTGGTGGGACTTAAAGAGATGTAAAAATCCCAAGAATAAGAGGCAAGATAATGGGTCCAGACAAGCGAGTATTCTATAGTTTTTAGCACAGGTAAACCTTCACTTAGCTGAACGTAAGCCAGGGATAACTGGCTTTCACACAAAATTGTTCCTACTGTGGTATACGTATGTCCTCCTTTGTAAACGTGACAAAGTCTGGCTGGCACCTTTCAATAAATATAATAATCCCAAAATTGTCCAGTCCACTACATGGTTGCAGAAATAGGCTGGATAGTGGCCATCGCAGTCACCAGACTTAAATCCGATGGTGGGACTTAAAGAAAGCAGTTGCAGTGGGCAAGCCTAAAATGTGACTGAACTGGAGGCCTTTGCCCATGTGGGCGAAGATACCCGTAGATCGCTGCACACTTGTGTCAAGCCTTCACCATTTAAAAAGCTGTTATAAACAAAAGGATAAAAAAGGGAATTCAAATAAAACTGATAATGTGCACAAAAAGGTCGTTGTGTTCAAATCCTATATTTGTCACAGCACTACCTGCCTGGAGTATGCATGTTCTCCCTGTGCCTGCATGAGTTTCCTCCAGGTACTCTGGCTTCCTTTCACATTCCAAAGACATGCTGGTAGATTAATTGGCTCTAGTATGTGTATGTAGGATGTGAGTTAGGGACCTTAGATTGTACGCTCCTTGAGGGTTAGGGATTGATGTGTATGTACAATATATACTGTGTGTAAAGCACTGCTTAAATTGATGGCACTATATACACTCAACTGCGACTTTATTAGGTGCACCTGTTCAATTGCTTGGTAACACAAATTGCTAATCAGCCAATCACATGGCAGCAACTCAATGCATTTATGCATGTAGACGTGGTGAATACAACTTGCTGACATTCAAAAAACCGAGCATCAGAATAGGGAAGAAAGGGGATTTAAGTGACTTTGAACGTGTCATGTTGTTGGTGCCAGATGGGCTGGTCTGAGTATTTCAAAAAACTGCTAATCTAATGGGATTTTCACGCACAACCATATCTAGGGTTTACAGAGAATGGTCTGAAAAAGAAAAAATAACCAGTGAATGTCAGTTTTATGGACGAAAACTAGCACAGTGTACCTGATAAAGTGGCCGGTGAGTGTAAGTACCTGTAATAAATAAATAATAATACATAAATAAGGTGGCAGACCACAGCTCAACTTTGCAAGCTAAGGTTGAGATTTACATAACAGGTCAACCTAAGATTCAGGTTCCATAGAAGTTATTTAACCCCTAGCCTACAGGGCACTTATACCCCCTTCCTGCCCAGGCCAATTTCCAGCTTTCAGCGCTGTCACACTTTGAATGACAATTGCGCGACCAAACAACACTGTACCCATATGAAAATTTAATCATTTTTTTGTGACAGATAGAGCTTTATTTTGGTGGTATTTAATCACCTCTGGGATTTTTATTTATTCTTAAACAAACCAAAAACCACTGAAAAATGTTGAAAAAAAATGTTTTTTCTTAGTTTTTGTTATAAAATTTTGTGATTTTTCTCCTTCACTGATGTGCGCTAATGAGGCTGCACTGATGGGCACTGATAGGCTGCACTGATGGACACTGATAGGTGGCACTGATGGGCACTGATGAGGAGGCACTGGTAGGTGGCACTGATGGGCATTGACAGGCATCACTGATGGGCACTGAAAGGCAGCACTGATACATGGCACTGATATATGGCACTGATAGGCAGCACTGATAGGCGGCACTGACTGGCACTAATAGGCGGCAATGACTGGCACTGATAGGCGGCACTGTCTGGCACTGTTAGGCGGCACTGACTGGCACTGTTAGGTGGCACTGACAGGCACTGATAGGTGGTACTGATGCGCACTGATAGGCAGCACTGATTGGCACTGATAGGCGGCACTGATTGGCAGCACTGATAGGTGGCACTGATTGGCATTGATAGGTGGCACTGATGGGTGACACTGAAAGGCAGCTCAGATGGGCACTGATATGTGGCATTGATATGCACTGGTAGGCACTGATATGTGGCACTGATGTGGCACTGATGGGCACTGGCACGAGGCACTGATGAGCACTGACATAAGGCACTGATGGACACTGACAGGTGGCACTGCTGGGGCTACACTGATCATCAGGGCACACTGATCATCAGTGCCCTGATGATCAGTGTACATGTGCCCTCCACAGAAAGCTGATTACCGGCTCTCCTCTCGAGCTGTCAGCGTGACAGCTGGAGAGGAGAGAAATGCCGATAAACGGCATTTCCCTGTTTACATGTGATCAGCTGTGATTGGACACAGCTGATCACATGACCGAGCCAACATCTTCGGCTCTTTCCGTGATCGGTGATCCGCTGTGTCCGAGGGACACTGCGCACCACCGATCGCCATACTGCGTGCTCCCTGAGCCGTGCAATGAGCTGTGAGAATGGGAGGACGTCATATGACGTCCTCCCAGAACGAGAGAACCACCTTGCGCCCATCGTATTACTATATGGCGGGCGGGAGGTGGTTAAAGATAGACCATACAAACTAGTTCATATCTGAATATAGAGACATATAGTCAAATCTTTTCAAGATCACATCATTTATTCATGAGTGATACCAGCTTTTTATGTACTGCTATTAATCTAGTGTCATAAAACTATTACTATGTACTATATACAAGCCATACAATTTCATAAAGCACTGCTAGCAATACGTAGAAAGTCTCTCGTCACTTAATCTCCAAAAACAGCAAACTTTTTGTAAGGCAAAAATTCCATGAACTTCACCAATGCAAAAATATTTAATTTTTCAGAGGAAGATAATACAAAAATTCAGGAAGTCAGCTACTGTTGGCATGATAAAGGTTCTCATTGGATCAAGGTATCATCTGTGCTGACTGCTGAATGTTGGACGGATGTTGGAGGCAAGATCTTTGCTTGATTTGTGAGCCTAATGACAAGCGTTCAATTGCAGAACATGTCTGCATGACAAGTGCTTCATCTACAGATCAGCACAAAAAATCTCATATGCAAGCTTAATTTACATCAGAGAATAATTATTTCTAATTAAATTTCATAAATAATCCTAATTATCAATGCGGTACTAATAGAGACCGGCAATGATAAGATATACAGGAACCTTGTACATTAATAATTATCTGGGGCAATCTATGCGACCTGTCATCGAAATCAATTTTCTGGATTATTTTTTAATTGACACCCAGCACAGAGATACCTGCGTCACACGAGGCTAAAATACACATGAGCCGAGTTTGAACATGTCACCAGCGATTTGTCATCTTTCTGGACGGAAGAGAAAAAAATGGCAGTTATTTTCAAATGTAATTTCTAGATAGTAATCTCATAGAGACGGACATTCCATCGCCACTCGTAGGGAATACACATCAAGCTACGAATCCTAATTTATGTAATGACATGGACTTGGGCGCTGATTAGGCACCTTATCAGGCCTGTAATAAAGGCTGAATAACCCAGAGTTTATCTTTCATTTATCTGAAGACATTCTGAATATTATCACAAGATTGTAATGTAATCATTATGCAGCACGACGAGTGCAGGCCAGTACACTACATCGTCAATGTCATAGGACTGTCATAGTTCATCCTGCTTACAGTAATTTGCTTGCTCCTTGCACCGTCTTACAATTTTTCAGTTAAAAGTCTCATGTACTCCGAGTAAATGCTATGTGATCATTTACAATTTCGTCAAGTGAGGCCTGACAGTGTCAAGAAGATAGGTCTATGCTGTACACAGCGTACTGCTAAATATTTCTTATTCAAAATGATTAGCTTTAGACATAAAAATAAACTCTATTAAAGAAAAAATGGATTATTGTTCTGCAAAATTAGATAACTGAGCCATCAAGAGCACAGGTAATTGTTAGGTTAACAGGTGAAGGCACTCAAAATATAACATTTTTTTAGGCTGCTGGAGGGATAAACCATCTAAAGGTTTCTTATATGTCTTGGGGATTCTGGTGGTTAGATATCTGTACAAGAATTTCTAGACCTTCACACCTCCCCTGGCAGATATGAGGCCCCACCACTCTCCCTCTTGGATTTCAAATCTCTTTTATGCTATGTAAAAAATATGGTGAATGAAAACGTGGCCTCCTAGAGCTCCCAAGAGATGCAAGGGACCAAGAGGTAACTCAGTCCACCATAGTCCATCTTAACCTATAATATCACTTTTGGGTCTTCTGATACTTTAAAGTGAACCTTTCTCCACTATGGACAATGTTTACTATGGAATATAGCAAGAAAAATGAAATATAATTTGTTTTAAAAAGAAAATCAACATACATTTCAAGAAAACATATATTAAGCCCAAATATTGTAAACGAATAGTATGTGCACCCTACTATGTTATCATATGTGAATTCTGCATCCCAGTATGCAGCATATATGCCAAGAAATTGTCACTGTGGTCATGCCTATAAGCTGAAACTGCTGCCCTTACCATCTGTCATTTTATTTAAAGTCATTCATCCTTCCAACTAAGGATTTTCAAAGTCTCACACATGATCCCAAAAGATACCCAACTGCTTCTATCTCCTAAGCATCACTATTGGGCAGTAAGGCTGTCCCCATCACAGTATGTGCCAATAGAGTGGTTTAGAAAAACAAGGGGCAATGGTTCCAACCCATTGAGCCAATATATTTGGGTAATTCAGAGCATCTTGGCATTCAGACCATGGTGGTGCTTACATTGAGGGAGGTCAGGGTAGAAAAGGCTTTAAGGTGTCCGTTTATGACACACAGAATAGCTGAGATTCAGAGGATCACAGCTATTCTCTGGTCATTCACAGTTTATGACACCCAGGAGAATATGTTCAGCCCTTCTCTGGAGATCTGTGTTCTCCCTCCAGATTCTCCAGCCCAGAGCTGGAGAATCGGAGGGACCGAAAACTAAGCAGAGATAATTTACCTCTGCTTAGTAAACTGATCTTTTACTGTAATCTTGCGAGATTATAGTAAAATCAGCCGTTATCCAGCGTTTGTAGACCGTTCTCCCTTCGTTCGGAGAACTGATCTACATATGTGTTCTCCGAGAATGCCGGAGAACTGAGCAGCGATCTATTACTGCTGGTTCATAAACGGACACCTAAGTAAACAAGAAACAAAATAAAGACCTGTCTGAGCTAACACTTTTAGGCTTTTACAACTACTATTTTCATTTTTTTTAGGGTTAAAATGTAAAAATAAAAACTGACTATTGCAACCATCTCTAGGAGTGTTAAAGTTTGCCCCAACCCTGTTCCTGACACTTTTGTTGCACAGATAGATCTGGGAAATATATAATAATGACATATAAAATGCATAAGGAATTCATATACTGAATATTAATATAAGAATTACCCAAATACAATTTCCAGGATACAATTTTTTTGTGATAGATGCCCTCTCCCACACACTGTGAAATTTCCTTTTTGGCTTATTGCTGAGCAATGGCCGCACTTGCCTCCTGCTGGACGCGTCAGAGGAATATATGCAGAATGCAAAAGCAAGTATCCCCCTGGCACTGTTTCTGAGTTTTTCTTGACTTGCCCTATAAATCAATTTGAAGTTGGCATCCTATAGGCAAATATAAATATTTACCAGTGTGTCACATCGACTGAATAATCGTCCTATCAGTTTTACATAAAGCTGGTCAGTTTTGAGATAACGCAGTAAAGTGTAATATGCAGAAACACCTTCAATGAATACCTTAATTGAACCTGAAAAACTAGCAGTATTTACTATTCCCTTGACTGTAAGAGTTCTGTATGGATTCACACCATCATATACTGTAGCACATTATAAAAATTAAAGCACAACGGCAGAGCCATTAAAGCCGGTAAGCACCAGAGTGTGTGTATAGACTTCCTAAGTTAATATTTATCATGGCAGAAATGGTATTTTAGTCTGAAGCATGAAAGTGAAGGATCCTTATGTTTCAGCCGACCTCCATTTATTTGCTTAATGTTTTTAGAGCAAAGTAATGGTAAAGGATGTGCATTGAGCTCTGTTTGTGTATAATTCATTTACAGCCACTTTTCCAATAAGACACCACATTACATTATTTATTAGTTGGTTGGAATGTTCAAGCTTATTTTCGCAGTGGAATATTTTCTTTACATATAAAGCTGTATAAAGAGCAAAAAAGCTATAAAGACATTTTTATATATGTTCCTGTCTAGTTGGTATAAAATTACCCAAATGTGCCCTAAAGGGAACCCATGTGAATAGAAATAAGGACAATTCCATAGTTCCATTTTTTTTTTCAAAAGTGTAGGCGAGGGAGCTGTCATCTTGGTCTTGTACACACTGCTTAGTGATTACCTTATCTAGAACATGCAAATAGTCAGTGAAGTCTGGTATCCACATGCTAGGTCCAGGTAATAGATCCATTTGCAAGTGTTTCGGAACCCCTAACAGTTAAAGTGACACTAAAGCTTTGGGGTTTTATTTCTTAAAATAACAAACATGTCTATACTTACCTGCTCTGTGCAGTGATTTTGCACAGAGCAGCTCCAATCCTCTTCTTTAGGGTCCTCGCTGGCACTCCTAGTTCTCCCCCTCGAGTAGTGCTCTCAGGGAAAGCCGCTAACCCAGGGGGCACAGCTGCATGCTTGTCCCTGAGAACCTGCTCTATGTGTCCATAAGACACATGGAGCCTCAGCTCGCACACCCCCCCCTGCTCTCTCCTCATTGGCTCACTAGGCTGTGATTGATAACAGCGGGAGCCAATGGGCAACCACTGCTGTCTCTCAGCCAATGAGGAGGAAGAGTCCTCAGAGAGCAGAGGCTGTCGTGAACGTCGCTGGATTGGAGGGGGCCTAGGTAAGGATTTGGGGGGGGGGGGGCCTGGGCGAGCCGCTGCACACAAGTTTTTTTGACCTCCATGTATAGAATGAATGAAGATAAAAAAAAAAATTGAGTCTTTAGAACAACTTTAAAGTGAATGGTGAGAGGAGAGATGGTCACATAACCTGTCAAATCATGTGATCAATCTCTCTTTCAGTCACAGAATCAAAGTCCCATATATGTCTGTATGGAATGCAGACTAACCATGGGTTCTTTATAACATGTCTTTAGTGTAAATGCAACCAGGTGCTGCAAACAAATGTATGTCAATATTAAGCATTTTATTAATTGATATAGGTTTTAATCAGGTGCTTTTGCTGTTTAGCAGGCTGAATGTTGGTTATTCCATTTTTTTGTTTGCTGTTTACAGAAAATAGATTGACAGCTAGTGTTTAGCCAAACAGCCCTGGGTTCAGTTTGGCAGGAGTTTGTCAAACTTCAAAGAAGTCTTGATGCCAAACCCAAACTGCATTGAAATCAATGGGATCCAAATCTGTCAAATTAAAAATGCCCATTCTCT